CAGTAATACTCGTCCATTTCGGCAGCAATTCCCTGGTCTGTAAGAGTTGTCGCGAACTCTCGAATGAGGGCACGGTCAGGTCCAGTCACCGGCATCCCGAACGGCCCGGTCAAGCGTTCGAATTCTCCCTTACAAATGTCAGGATACCTTCCCTGGTCTTTCTTAGACTTCATACCTTTCTCCAAGGTTCCTCTTGAGGTAGCTTGTGGAAGATCAGCTTTAAGCGCAGCCTGCACAGAGAGTCATGCGGCGAGCCGCTTTCGCCATTATCTTTGGAGCGGATCGCTCTCGGACCACAAGAGCTGTGGGGGCCCGTGTTTTGAACTCGACGAGGAGGCAGAGCCGACCGGCGCGCGCAGGAGCCCTCAACAGCGCCTCTCGTGGCTCATGAGGGGGTACCGTGGGCTCAATCCGTGATGTAGCTCCTAGGGCAGCCGCAAGATCGACAACACGGACGAAGAAAAGTTGGACCGGAAGCTGGATCTGAATTCGAATTCTCCGGGGTGATGACTTCAGGGGCCGGTGCTGCCTGACCGGCTGGCAGCGGGAGCTTGTCATTTGGGGACGGTCTTCAGGCGGCTGACCCACGTCTCACCCCCGTCGGATTCTTTCAATTTGGATTCGGATGCGTATTTCTCGGCGCGTCATCCGATTGAGCTGGCTGCGCGCGGCGACAGAAACGAATTCCGATTCCGGAGGATCCTATCGGTCCCGCTCGGGATGACGCGTTACCGACGAATTGAATCGACGAAATGGAATACTTCGATGTCGGCCATTCCATGGAATTCTTCACTCACTCAGGGTGTCGATGGCGGCAATCACTCCTCTGGGAGGCTAATAATGCTACCGCAAGATCTTCTCATGGCCGAAGAGTTCTGTGATGTTACGATTCTCGGAGGAGTTTCTTTCCAGTAAGTCTCTGAGCTGCAGCCAATCGCCTTGGGAAGTATCGATGATAATGATCAGCACCGAAGTCGGGCAGACATTTCAACTCGTACCACGCGCCTTCATCCGATGCCTCGGTGCACGGGGAATGGGACTGCCCAACTGAACGTGTTCCTGTTTGCGAACTATTTCGAAGCCAGGAATACACATTTCTGCTCTTCAAATGATTGGAGGAAAAACCATGAATGTAGTGAGTCTGCTGAGAAAAAAGGCTCCTCATAGGAAATGGTACTCCTGGGATGCGAGTCCCCGCCTCCATCATCTTTATAATCGTCCGAATAACCATATGTAGTAAGTTATCACCAAACTCGGACCAGCTTTTTTCGCTTGGGAATTTCCTCTTCAGGTTCCAATCAAGTTATGTGCCGGGAGGTCAGGACTCCCTCTACGGAGCTCTCGCGCAGCATGATATACAGTTTTGAGCACGCACAGATTCAATTTTCGGAGCATTCATATTCTGTACAACTTTTATCAAACATATCTTCCTCCGATCCTCCCCAGCATGGGTTCCCTCCCCTTTGGGCATGTCTGGCAGGATCAATCCGTTTTCCCGAGGGCTTCCAATCTTTCGAGGAGCGTTGGGTGATTGTTGTTTATAGCGGAATCCAGCCAGTCTCTGATCGGGAAACTCAGATTGTCCTTCTCCAGGGTGATCAAGGCCTGGAAGCGCGAAGAGGGAAAATCGGCTCATTACGGGCCCATGAGCTCGTTGCATGATATATATCTGCTCCAGATTGCTTCGATTGATCACACAAACCTCTCTCAGATAGGACGCCCTGTGCATTTTTCGAACGAATTCATCCGCTTGGAACTCGAATCGACGCGAGAGGTACATGGTGAAGAAGCTCAGCAGCTGAAATGTCAGGAAAGTCGTTAGAACCGTAGAACTAGATCACCTCTCATTTCCTTCCGAGAATCATTAGTCATGTGTGATAAAGCTGGAGACTTGTTGCGAAAAGTTTTTCCAACGCGTGGCTGGACTGTAGAAACTTATTCACCTCGTCGACGGGCTTATACACGGTTCCAAAGACAAGCAGGAGTCCGATGAAGGCGGGCTGTTCGTCGACGAAACCGAAGGCTTCGAACAGAGGCTTACAATCGGTGAAGAGTGAAAACGTCAAACACCCTATCAGAATGTGAACTTGTGCGATGAACATCATGATGTAGGTATGACAGTATTTCCAATGGCCGATCTCGTGACAGAGCACCGCAAGGACTTCCTCGTCCGTGCATCCTTTCTGTGCCGGTTTCGTGGATTGTTCATCGTCGTTTCTGTCGCCCTCTTCGTTTTCAGGATCTTCGCCACTCTTTCTCTTCAAAACGAAATTCCCGCCGTCAGAAGAGGATGATCAATGAATGAAATACTTCACCAAAGAATTCATGAACTCGATTTTTTGCCGAGGGAACTAAATCTGCGAAGCGCGGCACCTGATGCGAATAGTAGCTTCGGACGAGCGTGTCATACAGCACGATGCGTTTGTTCTTGAAGAGCCCAACGAAATAGGCGTTGCTGTGGGTAGATCGTTTCGAGCCCTCGACTATCTGGATTTCAGTTAGGGGAAATCCTACACTCTGAGCTAGGGCCTCGATGTCTGACCTAGAATCAGGGAAATATTGGATTATTCGCACGCTATAATAGTCCGAGAGCATATCATTCAGCGTATGTGATGCAGAGCTGGTCACAATCGTACTTGAGCTTCCCGGCGGGCAGAGTCTTGAAGGTGTCGAACATAGGAGCTATGATATTCGGGTAGATACTGATGAGGAAAATCGAAAACCCGAAGACCAGCAACCACACGTAGAAGAACGCCATTTGGCCGTAGTTCGTCAGGATATACTGCACAGCTGTAACATAGACGGTATATCGCATTTGGATCCCAAACGTATGATCTCAAAATCCGTACCTGAGGCATATCATCGGCTCTGGGAAGTCCGCTTCACAGCCGGCTGTCAACTCACCGCAGACAACGGGGTTAATGAGAACCTGGCTCAGTAAGAATCCCTTTACTTTATCTTTGATGAAGAAACCTGCAGTCTGGAAGTCGAAGAGAGAGATGTCAGACGACTCTTAGCGGTCGCGCATGTTCTGAGGTGGTTCCTCGTCGTCGATATCTAGTCTTCCACGAGGATATTGGGGTACAGCTCACCTGTTTGTTGAAGCCGTGCCTCTCCTCGAGGACGAATGTTCCGTAAACCGACCAAGGCAGGCTCATTACCAAGCTCAGTAACGAGATGAGGATCATGAACATGCAAATACGAAAATATTCGTTGTCCGCATCCAAACCTGGAAGGGGAAAGCATTCTCTGATCCTCGGTAGACTCGAGAAACGCTCGTGTTTGAATGGGTCTCGGTGTGGATGTTCTCCCGGAGAGCGGCGGAGTACTAACCTGTTCTAGTCAAGGTGCTCCCAGAGAGTTTCCATATGAGGGCATTAAGGTAGTATACCAAGGCAAGCTGAGAGAGATGACTTGAATTAATGGAATGGGCCGAAACGTATATTTGGAATGATTTTCAAATGTTTTTTCCCCTGAGGAAGATCCCCTCTCACTTGAGATGTGATTTGGCCCCAGGTCGATTTGATCATGGCGAAAGTCGACAAGTCGATATTATACAGACGCGACTTCGTGAAGGTCTTCTGGTCCATGATACTGACAACCTCGTTCGGGACGAAGTCATGCTTCACGAAGATTCTGTGCTGAAATTCACGGGAATTTCGCTTTCGTTCAGTGTCATACCATCGTCAGCCGAGCTCCGCCTGTCGGGAAACCCGAGGCAGTTCTCTGCGATCGGAAAGCATCATTGCAGTGGATGAGCTCTCCGAGTATCCGCTGAATTGCGGATATGCGACTCACCTGTCTGTACTGCACGTATAAATGGAATATATAGGACAAGAGGGTGTAGGCTATGCTGAACCTCAGGATGTTCTCAGCCGTCCAGTAGGGGCCACCGAAACGCACGATCTAGAAAAAAAGAATTATACGACTTGCAGCACTCGCACGTTCCATCGCGCTCGCTACTAAGATTTAGCAGGCGGTATCGCAGATCGGAGACTCACCGATGATCGAAGATCGTCGATCGCATGCATCGACCAATCTGCAGCGGCTTCCATGATGGCAGCCGCGCGATCCTGGAAGAATACATAGGATCTAGTTACAGAGGAGAAGTCCCGGTGAAATACCAAAACATGTAGTATCGTAGCCGAAGACTTCCAACGGCTCATAGTTGGAAAGGGTCTCGAATTCTGCTCCAGAAAGGCCCGATGGGGAGACTTTTTGTCGTGGATCGATGAAGAGCCCGGCAATGTGAACATGCAGATCCTTCACGCGTTGTCTTCGAGAGCTTTAATATTGGATTCGGTAAAGGAGAATTTCAACGATCCGAGATCGGTGGGCGGCAGGGATAATGATTGATCGATGCAGGAACATGAGGGGAATTGAGGAAAATAACAATTATGATCGTCAAAACACTTGAGGATGGGATGAGGAGGAGTTTGAGTTTTCGATGGCTCGAAAGGAATTACTCTTGAATCCTGCTGAACTGTCGCTCGTCCGCGTCTCATGTTTGGACTTCGCCTCTAGTCGCAAGATCAAGTTTCGAAGTCGTTGATGTCGAGGATTGAATTACGCGAATACTAGTGCCCATCGAGGCCCTTATCGTCTGAATTGTTTGAAGGCGGTGTCGCTCCTGCTCTCTTTTCTCTCCGATTCTGTCGTAGATAAGGGCAAGAAACAGGCTCAGCCCGGGATCCGGGGATTCTGAGGGACGGAACGACGGGGAAGAGCCTTGCGCAGATTCAAGAGTCGGATTGGACACACTAGCCGGTAGCCCCTCATCTGCTCGGAGTCGTATACCGGTCAGCCGCCCAAATCCGAGCCTGATCTCTCTTCGTGCACACCTCGGTGTTCGAAGTCGATGAATGCCACAACTTCTTCGATGACCGAAGGTTTCCGTTGCTCGCCGAAGCGAACCACACCGTGAAAACTGTACCTTTCGGAAATCGAACGTTCGACTGCGCTTGGAGCTCACAACAACAGAGTAATGATCTCCAGTAACTTTACCTGTGACACTGCCGCGCTTGAATCACTCGATGAATATTTTTCAATAGGTCGTGAGACAATTCGGTGAATTACCCACAATATGACAACGGATAACCGAATCTGTCTGCCGGTGGATGACTCAAGTTATATGGCGCGAAAATTCGAAATCTCAGCTGCTTCAAAGAAGACGACGGTTTCGAGCGATGGGTGGCTAGTGGCTACGTAAGATTTACTGCAGCCCGTGTGACAGAGTCCGCGGAATGAATAATGATTCGGCTTCGTTGTCTGATTTCATCCATTCCAGTTCAGTTTCGATCCCCCTCGGGAGATCTGTTGCCTAACCCCACCGCGTGCTACGGACGAAGTTCTGCGCTGTGGACGAGATACATACGTAGATCGCGGAAGAAAGCTCAATCCCTTGATCCCTCCCACCTTGATTTTGCGGTACATTTGACCAGACTCTGGGAGGTGCTGAAGATTTGGGCAGACGAACACACTGCTTTGCACAAGCATCACGAGCCAGAGTTCTGGGGAGCTGCAATGCGCTCGCTCGAGATAGCAGCTTTAGTTTTGTCCCCATTTCCTCCTCGATGTTTTTGCCGGGAGAGCCTGCTCCCGGGACGCAAAGCAGTTTCAAGACTGAAAATCTTTGGTCGATCTTCCCCCATGATCACGATGTGACAATAAGAGTCCGGATTATTTCGCCGAGGTTAGAGCGGTCCAATCCCAATCACTCCCTGCGCTGCGGCGATGCCTTGAAGCAGTCTTTTTCGGTCCGAAATTCCCTATAGCTTCAATCAGTAATCTCTGAGAGAACGTTCACCCTCGATACTCGGGAGTCTTTTCAAACGTCCGGCGGAGCGGGTGAAAAAAATCGAGCGATTCCTAGTGTCCTATCCTATTTAGTCCTTCTGTGGACACGAAGAGCCCATAACGAGACTGGCAAAATGAGCAGCTCGGATACTCGAGCCATCTAGGCCACGCACGATTTGGTGCCCCGAGGCTCGACGATCACTCCTCTTCAGCGGAACTTCGCAAGTTGAGGGTTCCCCTTTCCGCCGGATGTTCCGGGCTTTTCATGATAAGCCGGAGGTGGCGCCTTTCGACTCGAAAGACCGACATGGGCCTCAGAGAACAGTCTCCCATCTTTCGCAATCAGGACCGAAAAATATCATGTTCAAGATCAGCCTGAATGCAAACCTAGACTTCTTGAACCTAGAAACCTAGTACCTTTAGAAAACGAAACTGTCCACCGAGGACCCGCATGGTCCCCCAACCCCTTCCCGGCAAAACAAAACGCCTAGGGGCGCCCTCTTCCGGGTCCTGTCCCAGACATTGCAGGCGAAGCCCTGCTTCTCTGAGCCTCTCCCGGTCGTTCCAAACCCACCATTTTGGATACAGAGATCGTTGACCACCGTCCCGGAGTCAGCGAGTTCACGGCTTTTCGGACTTTTGCTAAATTCTAATCAAGCAGGAGCCTCGAATTCCGCTCTCCGTAAAGACTAGACAAACGGAGTTTACCAGTCTCGCTCCCCCTCACAATTAACCGAGAGTGCAACAGGCCCCAACGATCGCTGGCGCCTCCACGCGGGCTCCGCCGCGACTGAAATCGAACGATCGCTTGATCACCTCCTGACATTCGCGTATCCTTCCGGTGAGTGCGGCGGCTCATCTCGGTGTTCCTCGCTCGAGAAGCGACCGCGCAAACGGCCCAATGGAGGACTTTTGGTCACTCCGATATCTACGAGAATTCGAAAAATAACCATGATTCCAGTTCCGTCGGAGTTCGTCGGTCTCCGTTGTAGTATTTTTCGCTTCAAGGGCTCGACCAACGCTTCTTTTCAGACCTGAAAATGGCAGGACTCATCGACTCAGCGCAACTGCAGGCGGTCCTGCAGTACTTCGACATGAGCTATCTGCGAACTATTCCTGGATACCTCAAGATGTGTCAGCTGGTGAGAGTCGGAGAGAGTTACATTTTCCCTGAACGAGTCATCCTATTTTCTCCCGAGGACTCGCTCAGAGGCGAAACTTGGGGGAAGGCCTGGCGGGCTCCATCATATTCGAAACGAAGAATCAGCATTCAAGCGCTAAGATCGAGTTCCTCATTCCAGGGGAATGCTCTCATCGGCTTCGTGTTCAGTGAGTTCGGCGATCCCAAGTACAGCGGAACAACGAGTTGGTTCAACTTTGTTGCGATGACCGGCTTCTGGGTCACCATTCTCTTGCTTCTCTTCTATCTACTACATATCTTCGACAAAATCCCTGTCGTCCCTTGGGTTCAAGTGGTGAGAAGTCGGAAGATCTGTCTTATTCCTTCGGTAATCTCGAGGGACGCTCGCTCTCCCGAGAAAAACTAAATCACAAGTCGAGGAAGAAATATAATGGCGAACCGAGGGCTAACAGAGACGGTTTTGAGGAGGAGATTGAATCCGAAGCACTCGAGTAATCGCATTTCTTGAAAGTGAGTCTATTGTTTGCAGGAACTCACTTATGCAGCGCTTTGGGCAGGACTATACTTGATCGCTACTCTGGCCGCGGCTTTGAATGCTACAGATGACTTGCACATGCTTGCGCTGGCGGTAAGTGTCGCGTCTTCCAAAAATAAGTTCAGGAATTCTAGTTGTGAGAGATTCTTCTCAGCAATCAACAGCAATGAATATCACGCCTCGCATGCATACATCCAGCTTTGAATCCCCGCCTCCGTCAGCCACGGTCCAATCGTGTCTGTCTTCGGCGAATCAAATAATGGGGTCTCGATCGATCTGGGAATTGTCGGAAACACTGCACATATTGAAGTGAGTTCCATTCGATTCTCAGGTGTTCGCCGTAGCTGGGATGGGTCTCTACGGGACCGACGCTTTTCTCAAGTTCAAAGCATACAAGGCAGGCGTAACCGAGACCGGTTATTCTGCGGGACCGGGCGGTAACGTCGGAGGAGAAATGGGGCTCGATCAGCAACCAGAAGGCATGGCAGACCCGACATCGCCAGACCATTTCCCAGCGTACTGAGCTCTCGTGGGACACACGCATATCGCAACTCGCAACCGATACGGCAGACATACGCTATCCCATGGCAATACCTTCCACGCTGCACCCAACGTCCGTTTCGCGGGTGGTACTATTCGCTGCAAAAACTCGTCGAAATTCGATCTGGTGATGATCCGGCTTCGGCAGTGATACCGATCCAGACTTCATCCCCGACGGATGGCAGGTGTCGCCCTTCGAAATTCTGCTTTCTCCACTGATTCAGTCTCGCATGACATCACACTTGATTTCACAAATCGTCGGTCTGAGTCGAACCCTCCAGCCGAAACGGGCGATCATTCGAGGGTTCCAGTCCCGTTCTCGGGAGGGCTACAGCTAGAGTTTCAATGCTATATGGAATGGCTTCTCTTGGTACAAAGACATGAGGCTTTCAACTCCCGAAATCGGAGCTTCTCCCTAGAAGCTTCACGATCCCAGCTTTTGGCATCGTTCCAATGGCACTGTCAATGAGTCACAATGGGCTTGAGGCGTGCGCTTGCGGGTGCATAGACCCGTTGAGTGCATGATGAAATTCTAGAACTCGTTGCTCCTTTAGTCGGAACGGCTAGCCCCGGAAAAACTGCGCTCGCCCCTGCTCCGGATATTTAACTTGAGTTCTTCGGAGAATACTGCATGTCTTGATTCCTGAATGAGACGCTTCTGCAACCGAGATTTATTGCTTGGACGAGCCAGAATCACAAGAGCCTCATCCGCTTTGTTCCCATTCAACTACCGATCATGTGTCTTCCTCGCTGGTTCGTATCTTCGATGGATGAAATAGACTACCCCGAATCTCTCGCTTTAGTAGATTTTATTGACGGAAAACGTGGTTTGACCTCGATCTGAAACTACACACCGTGTTATGAGGAATAGAGATCCTTAGGATGATGATTATTTATCATTCCCCCTCTGTGATGTTTTAAATGTTCGGTTCGGGGTCACTACATCAAGCGGGAGACCCTCGATTCCTCCGTTCTAGATCTCGTATGAAACTGGCTACATATTGCAGAAGTGTCAGTATAAGTGTTTTTTGACGTTCTCAGTGTGCGACGGACGAACAATTCCATTGAATGACCGGAGACGTCTTAGATTGACGATGTGACGCATTATGCAAATAAGCATTGAACGACTCCTCTAGATTCACTCACCGTCGAGCTTCTCACTCCCTTGGAGCCACGTTCATCAAGTACTGACGTAGAATTCCTGTTGTTGATTTGAGTCTGTCAGGATTCAGTGATAATCATGTGAATTCTGAATTCTAATGGTTTGTGAAGCGGTATAATGTATGAGAATTAGGTAGGCTCCGAGAGGCAGGAAAAACATGGAACTGTGAGGATCGAACCCTTGTGAGGTTACGAATGGGAGGGAACATGTAATGCAGGAAATATTGTACCTACGAAATTCTCAAGATAAAGGGGGAGATGGAGAGGGGATATCCCGATGCGGAAGGATCATTAACCGAGGACTGATACTATGGTGATCTTATTGGAGACTGGATAATAAATTTATAACACTACCCTACGACATCGAACGCACATGTGTTCTCAATCTCATGTTCACCTGTCTTAATGAGAGAAATCTGATGGAGGAGTGTTCTCCCCCTGCTCGTTATGGAGACAACGTGATTCTGACACATGAGGTGAGATTGACCGATTGTCTAACCCGTCGATCGGAATTAGATACCTAATCAAGGGAAACGTCGCAGACCTCGGTGAAGTATTTCCTGACCATGTTGTGACGAAGTCAGGTTATCCGGCCACCGATCTTTGATCTTCGGCATCTGTGACTGAGCTTCCACAATTTAGCTGGTCAGGTGGAGACCTCCTTACTGGGAGTCCACGGGTAATGAGAATGCGGTGTCGCGCAGCCGCGACTATTTACAGGTCCATCCCATCTCCAGAAACCCTGGCCTGACACAACAAACCCTGGCATGCTTTCAGTCGCCCTGGATCGTCGAGGCTCTCAATAAGGACGATTGGTCGTGTAATAGTGTGGTCGTGGTCGAAAACACGTTATACGTCCTCTAAGCCTGATTGAACTCAGATGAATTTTCTCATTTCAGGATGTCGTTATAACACTTTTATTGAGGCTGTCTTAGACCCCGGATCCAATTCACCATAATCGGCATATCGAAGCGGGGGAATCTGTCGTCATCTCCACAAAATGAATTCTTTATCCAGCAATCAACAAATACGAGGGGCTAGACTGTCGAAAATCGCCTAGCTTTGTCCCGATTCCCCTAACCCTTCCTCAACAGCGATTGGATGTGACTGTAATTGTTCGTGAACTCGTTACCCTTATCTACAGCTGCATGGCTCGCTGAAGAACGTCCAAGAATGACTACGGCGTATCCGCTAGTATCGAATAAGTAATCTTGAACCAGAATATTTCTCCGTCAGTACGTCGCCTCGTGAGAGGAGATGGATGAAACGACAATTTCGTATGCTCATCCGACTCGATTAATAATATGAAAGATGTCTGGGAACTCGTCTCCTATCCTATTCCGCCGCCAGAGACGGGCATTCATGAGACTATTGATCGACAAAAGGATGCCACAGAATTTCGTCGCCGTCAATGAGCTCTCGGAATCATGACTGCGAAGCTCGACCTCTGATGCATTCAAATGACACAAGGACGTCGGTCTCCCACCAATTCCACGAGCTTATGGATCATGCAACTGTTAGTTTGCTCCGACATCAATTTCTTCAAATTTGTTCTCCTTGCTTAGGAGCTTGATTCTCTCTCCGTACCCTCTTTTTTGCCATGAACTAAATCACAGAAATGTTCGGACAGCTCATCGCCGATAGAACTCATCGCCGGACAACTCATCGCCGAGCCTCCATCATTCTTCTTCGAGTTTCCAAATGAAGGCCCCGCTCTTATCGATCTTTAATTTACTTCATATTTCTCGGCTTAAGATACCTTAATGTACCTACAACGATCTTCACAACGTACAATGACTATACTTACAGGGTATATACTCTCCTTCGTGTTTCCAAACGATAGCCTTGATGAGATCGGAGAAGGTGCCATGGATCAATATCCTAGCACCGCCTGCGCTAGCGTCAGGAAGTTCCCGCCGGGAAGAACGAAGATGCCGAACGTGCAGAGAGATATTGAACTTGAGAGGGGAAAAGCGTAGCTCCCTTTGTTGTCATCCGATCGCTGTACGAATCGCAATATCCCTCAAAGGAAATATCCACCTAGCAATGGCTTCCCCGTCGAACAGCAATAATTTGGTATCGCAGCGCGGAAAATGCAAACGAACCCACGATGGACATATCTATATCCGTGACAAATGCAGCAAAGATGGCACGAGAGTGTTCTGGCGCTGTCACCATCTCGGAGCCTGCAAGGCTCGACTACACACTTCAGCCTCGGATGACGGAGTTCTCAAGGTGCTCGGTGTACACAGTGACGAGCCGAACCCAAGTGCAGTGGAAGTTGCGGCGAAACGAACTGCTCTGAAACGAAGAGCCGAGGAGTGCCAGGAGACTCCATTGCAATTGATCGAAAGTGTTTTCGAGTCGTCGACCCAAGCCGCAAAACTTGTGCTGCCAAGCTGCGAAACGCTTTCCAGATCAATAAACCGAGCCCGTAAGAATGCCATGCGGCCGGCGGCGAGTCCACAAGATCGGTCGTCGATTGTGATTCCGGAAGAGCTAACGATGTACGAGAGTGAGCCCGGCGTGTTTGAGCGTTTTCTTATCGGCGACACAGGTGAGATCCGGTGAAATCCAAGCTGTACTAGTAGATACTCCATCTTCGTTTCGACCCCTTATAATCTCCAATCAGAACCGCGTTCAGTAACTCTGACTTGTTCACATTCCCTAGGAGAAGGCGATCCTGCGAGAATTCTCCTCTTCGGACGCGAGTCCGTGGGTGAATGGATTGGTCTCTCGCGGAAAATCTTCGTGGACGGTACCTTCAGCTTGGCGCCTCCATGCTTCTATGTATCAGATCGTTGCGGTTCTTGCCCAACGGGGGGAATTCGTGTTCCCAGTGTGCTACGCCTTATTGCCAGACAAGAGTCAAAATTCGTACGCACGCATGATACAGCTCATCCGAGCTGCCTGGCCCGCTTTCGCTCCTGAGGCGATCTCCACCGATTTCGAAATGGGTTTCGTCAATGCGTT